GTCCTCCTGGAAGCTCTTCGATTGGGTGAGTAGATTGGCTGGGATCATCAGCTGATCGACGTGGGTGTTTGAGTCGACGAATGAAGAATTCTCCAGAACACGCAATATAAATATTTACATCGCTGTGCATGGTATGTTTTGACAAAAGGTCCACCCCGAACTCCTTACCTGTTTCGGTAAATCGAAGAAGTCCATCGAGTGAGAGTACATAAGTGAATATCCTTGCGCCTTCATCAAAGTGTACCATTTTGAGAAATTGCACTGCGGCTTCTTCTGATCGGGCTTTGAATACTCCGTATTCTGTACTATTACTGAAATTATACACACGGGCGTGCTGGTGATGAAGAGCTTTGTTCAAGACTCGTCCTCGTAGACCTGCTTTAGAAAACATTCCTTTTACGAAAGGCTTGAATTCGACAAAGCGATGGTATAACTCTGCGGGCACTGGACCTTGAAGTTGTATCTGATTTGCTTGGAAGCTAATTCGTTAATAAGTCAGAATTCTAAGTACGAAGGAGAGTTGCTTACTCGTATTTCTCAGTCTGTGGCTTGTCTCCCGACGAACTTCCAGGCACTTTAGTACCAGCCAATCTTCCTATCATGGGCGAATAATGCTTGAAGAAATATGTTTCCGCGACGGTATACATTCTGCCATATGGTTGCTCGGATGGTCCCAAGAATTCCGCGCTGACATATAGTGTACCATCCATGTGAACATTGCTATCAAACATAGCCGCGCAAGCTCGTACTCCATACGCTCTCTTGCTACCCATTCTCTTTTTGATATCAAATCCTTTCTCTTTGAAACCCTGCCAATTTGGACCCAATGATTCCACATGAATTGTAACGTTTCCCAGTCGATCGTCATGATCTGCGGGGTCTTCATCATATAAACGGCATTTCAGACGGAAGCCACTTCCAGGAATACCAGCTACCGTCCAAGTCTTATTCCATTCTGGATTTGTATTTTTGTGTATCGTTTGAGTTCGCAAAACAAGATCTGGATCTTCCTTATGTCGTTTCAATAGCGAGGATGTCAAAGTTGCTGTAAGGAAAGGGTCGGAGGAGCGAGAGTTGAGATCCGAGGCAGGAAGATTCTCAGCTCTGTGAAAGGTAAATCGTACAGTATAACCATCTCGCGCATGGGGAATTGGCGTCGCATCGAAACCGCCAGGAGGATTGGCCTTATCTTTTAACTTCTGCTGTTTCGAGGTAACTTTTTCCTTTGCTGATTGCAATTGGCCATGGTGTTGTTTCTCTGGGTCACCATTCTGTTGTGTACCGTTTTGCGCCGGAGTTACTTGGGCTGCTGGGCTCTCTTGCGCTGGAACTGCTTGCGATGGAGTCTCTTGCGCAGGGCGATTCACGCCATTTGACATGTCGCCGAGTGCTTGACGATCGACTTTTTCCGACATCTTAATTTATACTCTCCAGGAGAGTTCAGATTATTCCGCGGAGAGAGGGCGTAATATTGCGCCAAGAAGAGTCTTATGATTGTCGTTGTGAAATGAGCTGACAGCCCAGCTTTGTATGACAAGAAAATGCGATACGGAAGGAGGGGAGTAAAAAAGACGGGAAGAATAAATCGAATGTCCTCAAAGTGACCAATTGAAGGGAGAGAAAGGAAAGGATTATAATAAACACGATGAGGCGCCGAAACGGGTTGGACCTAGGTAGGTAAGCCTTTTATTAATAAATGGGTTAATTATGTCGATACAAGGTCGATACAAGGTGAATGCGTACAATGGGCGCGAGTCAACGATGGAAAGTTTGGCGCACGGGTACCACTGGGGTTTGTGATGAAGTCGGATGGAAGTGGGAGGGAGATTGTTAATATTATTTAAGATGTTATTAATATTATTTAAGATATTTAGGGTCTCGTACCGGAACGACTGATTCAAGCTTTTGCCAAGATGGATAGCATGAGGAAAATAGCTGGCTCGATGGGTAGATGGGTAGTTCACTTGGCAAGGTGGAAAAGTTGACGGGACGATAGGAAGAGGGCTGAAAGGAAAGGTCGAGTTGTACTAATACTTGGTCCTGGTTTTTATACCGGCACTTGTATATGGATTACCTACCGACCAACTCCATCACCAACCATTCCCAGGTCTCCCGAGGTCTGAGTAGTCTCACGCTCTAGTCTCACGCTCTAGTCTCCCTCCCCAGGGATCTTCTTTCTTTTTACAACGGTGAGTTCTAATTTTAAGCTTACTTCCCTCAAGCAAGTCTGTCTGGTGTACATGCAATCAATTAATAATAAAAACCAAGTTTCCAAGAATTTCACAAGGGAATCAGGAAGCTGTTACTTTATATATACGATCCTTCGTATACATCGACCCCTTCATTGGAGAAGCTGTGAGCCGTGGATTCCGTACAGCCGTCTTGGTGTTTGACTTGAACCCCTGGAAGCGAAATCGATACCTACTCACTGTCTCAGACTCTAAGATCCTCTTCCGATCATGGCGTGCAGGTTTTCATGCAGCAGCATTTTAGAATTAGGATTGAAAGAATGACAAACATGGGATGGGATCATCTACTACGTCATACAGTGCTTGGGGAAGAAAAAGAAAAAGAAAAAGAAAGAGAAAGAGAAAAAAAAAAATGGATTGAGTAAAATCATCTCTCAAACTGCCGAGAAGCGAATCCACCTGGGCAATTAAATGAAGCGCTAATAGGTAGTAATAGGTAAATCTTTGACAACACCAACGACCCCCTTTGTCTGTTCCTTTCCATTGGCTTGACGAAAGGAGGCGGGGAACAATCCAATAGGGAAAAGTACGAATGAGATACAAGTAAAATGTCACAATTTCCTCTCTTATGGCGGAATCTCATGTGAAGATTCCGCCATCTACGTTTAAAAGCAGGAATCCTTCAACTTGTTTACGTACCTACCTAGGTAATTGTACATCCGTCATGGACTGTATATACTTCTTCTGCCTTTCTACCCTTCTACCATCAAATGTTCTCGAAACGTTCCATGTCCCTGAACTTTCTGAACATCCCAAACCACCATCTGGATCAATCTTATCCTCTGAAAGATCTGCCTGCCTACGTCTGCTCTGATATGAATATGATGGCATCCTAGGTAGACAGTCAATTCGACCTCAATTCTTTAACATATTCCTCAAGCCAGTAATCATCGATAGAAACCATTCTTGTGTGGCAATAGTCTGGGTAGTTCTCAAATTCTTCTTATATGGTCAGTGCCGATCATGATATCGTGGGAAAACTCCAGGGTCTCAACTGCTCAGTATATTGAGACGCCACTTTCATACCGCGGGGTTGGTGGAGTTCACTACCTTGATATTGTCGATATTGCTGTGACGATGGACGCTGATTCAGATATCATTGGAATGAAGATTGTACCAGGCATACAGTTGTGTCATCCATCCGGATTGGAGGCCCAGAAGGATCAGCTATCCAATCAATCGTTTCGCGAGCCAGTAATTCTCAAATCTGATTGAATTCGGAAACCCGCACATTGTAGTTCTTCTGGAGCTATACATACCTACTACTGTACTAGAGTGATGCTCCGGTGCTTTCTTATTTGGGCTCGGCGCTGCATCATAAAAGATAGACTACTTAGTATAAGTGTTGGCATCTATTTGAAGACTAGATGCCACATGTCACTCACCTACATGCCACAACCCCAAACTTATTTTTTCCAAACCTAACATCAAACTATCCATACAAATATTCGTTATCTCCTTACACGAATGTCAATATTTTCCCCTCACTAATCGTTAGAATATCCCATTTCGGTCACCATGCCATGGAAATCCCTTTTCAAAAAGCTGTGTTCCGGTACCTAAGAGTCAATTCATAAAAATCATTCTCGTCGAGCAAGTAAACAAGATGAAGAATACCATCCCGAATCCAACTCCAGCTATCTCAAACTCTTACAGGCTGCATCCGGCAAGGCGCTATGCCCTATCAGAGCTAGCAGTGTTCCTAGAAATGATTGGAGCGTTGCCGACCAAGAATTATGGATATTCAGAACCTTAGTCGAGGTGTGCCATCGACCGGACTATAATGCTTACGATATCGTCAAAACATACAGTATGGAAAATGATCGAGAGGATCTATACTTGCTAGATGAAGAGGACTGGACGAAAATCTTGGGGAGCTGGAAAGATGGTGCGACGGTCCATAGTATCTTAAAGAACATGGAGAGGAGGAACAAGCCCTGGTTTAGAAATACTATTTCCAGGACCAAATCCGAGCCCACATCGAAGGTCCTACAATTTCATCACTGTGAGAGTACTCGGTCTAGAACAGCCATTATACATTTTTAACATTTTCGAGGTTCAAAAATGCGTCTATCACCTGCTTACAGTTATTTGAAAAGAAGCATGAGGGGTCCCCAGGGAGGAAGTGAAGTACTCCGATAACCCAAGTACGGGTGTCTGAAATGCAAGAGAGCGAAGTTCGGAATTGTTCGAGTTTGACACCCGGCTTAATGTGGAAGGATACAGACGATGGACTTGCATGGTGTTTTCATTATGGTCGAGCCAAATGATATCATTTCGTACAACATTACATCGACACTTCTCAGGCGCGTATATGGCATCTTCTGAATCATCCAAGCGGAGAGCATTCTACAGAACTCTGCCTTTTATTTTCGATGGAGGAGATCATCTGCTCACCATACATGTACGTTGGAGGAGGGATCCATCGTGTCCAAAAAATATCATGGGTTCGGCCTTTATTGACACAAGTCAAGGAGAAGGGATCCGCTGTTAGTTGGAAATACTTTTGTGGGATAATCAGTACATTTCATTCAAGGAATTTGGTCACAGGATTATGGCATGACGCAGGATTAGGCGAATTTTGATTCTTCAGGCTTACTCTAAGTTCAAGGCATGCCACTTGTTCAATCCAACCAATTTGAAAGATATCTTCGATAGTATTTACATATGTCGCCCAATTTCTCAATTGATACCTTTCTCTAACAAGCTATAGGTCCAAAATCCATACACCCACCCTTGCTATATTTCAGACTACACCCTAGTCATAACGAAACCAATCATCAATACATCTGTTCCCATGTATGCAATCTCCTTGGGATCATTACCGAGCTGCTCCCAAGTCAATAGTCTCGATTCGGTTTTCCATTGCGTTCCCGTTCTCTTCCCAACTTCATCCCACACCTCCTTCCAAGTCTCTAGGGACTGCAGAAGGCACCTGCAATTAGAGCCAGGGGGGCCAAGTAACCCCCGTTGCTTGGGCACGCCGACTTGGTAAGCTAATATCAAACTCCCTGGACGATCTCGAGACAATTTGACTAACAGCGTAGCCCCCTCGATGTGGTTCTCCAAATTCCACTGATGGAAAATCTGGTTCACTAAAATGACATCCATCGTTCCGTGCAACGCCTTCAACTTGTCACGTGGTTGCAACATATCATCTTCCAAAGAAATCAACTTCAAAAGTATCCTTGTCACGAAAGAAATCATAGCCCAAGTCCCAATGATTGACAATGTCCACGACCTGAAGCTGATCTGTGGGCGCACCATTCAGGTCCCACACCACTTGACGTAATTCTTGACCGAGGAAGCATCCAATGTCAATGGATGAGTCTCCGCTCTTGAGCCGCACAACAATATCTTTATATGCTGGCGACTGAGCGAGAAGATTATCAAGGAAGCGACCCAGACCTGTGCACGGATATGGGCGAATTGCCCATGCCTTTTCACGCTGTACAACGGTCAGTTTCAGTGCCCATAAAACGCATCGGCGATGTTTATGCTCGCCGTGTAGAGGAGACGACTCACATTGTCATATATGTGTTGGCGAACATCCTCCGGCGAAATCTTGCTATATTTCTCGAGGAGTCTACGACACTGCCGAGTCCTATTAGCTTCAGACTATTTCATTCTTGATATGAGGTCAGCTTACCTCGGGAGTGATTTTGTGATCGATGTTTTTGGGCCACCACTTGTACTCCTTGCTTGGAACAACCCTGTTGATGGGATCGGAAATTTTCTCCATGTCGTCGACTACAAGGACTGTGGACAATGCGGTAGCCATGCTTTTTGGATCAATAATAGTCAAAAGATTTAGTATCACAACAGGATAGAGGCTCTCAATACAAATTTCCATCTCTGGAGATTCAAGGAGGGAAGCCACCCCCTTTATATAGTCCACATGGCCTCATTTGTCACATGCGTGATAAGGCTATATGCAGCATATCCCCGATATATCTAATTCTGGAAGCTGTCCAACAGTTGGTGGCAAGTTGGAAAATGGTGCGGTTTGAAATTCATGGAATCAAGCCGTGATAAGCCGAAAGATCGACTGTATGGGAGGGGTTAGGTGTGTTTAACTGGCATTTCTGCAGTCGTTTGAAATTCCTGTTTTGATCACAACATGAAAGATACCTCATTACTCCGTCGAGAGCTCCGAGGCGGAGAAATATCGAGTGTATCTTGTCGAAGCGTACCATGCTATGCACTGTCTCGTGAGTTTCAAACCCGCAAGATAATCTAAGATCGTAAGCGCTGATTTGAATAGCGAATGGTCCGCCTTCACTACAGAGCGTTGGAGACCGGTACTCCCTGGATTGGAATGTTGCACACGATTATCATTGTTTCGATTCGCTTCGTCAATATGTCATGTGTAATCCGGACTACACACTTTGGTACGTAAGTGGCCATAGAGTCAATAGCTATATGCAGGAGAAGACTTGTCAGGATTGGGATGCTTTGAGAGATTGGACAGAGGAGCATACTAGTAATTATTATGATCAGTATGACATGGAACCTGGCACAATAGGGGATAATCTGTGGTACAACTATCACGCTGGAGACGGGCTACCAGTTGGCAGCCTCTAAAGTACACATGGGGGGTTTGAAGGGTATTACCACCATTGGACTTGTGATGTGTATATTTTGGATCTCTTGGGGTGGAGGCTATAGCAAGTTTGAATTCAATTATTCTTGTGATGCTTCGTCATCGCAAATGATGAATTCGCCTCGTCTCTCTTCCATACCACACATCGAGACTAGCTCAATAGCACCACCTTCCCTTCTATCGGGATTCTTCTTCTCCCATACAAACAGCTCCATGCCGTTGGATCTGACTGGGATACTGTCAAAATCGTTGCCCTGCAGACTTCACCTCCTAGAAATTGACAGCAATGACATCGACATCGTTGCCCCCATTTACAACAATGAATGTCGTTGCGTCCATCGTTCCTGAGCCTTGGATACACTCAGGAAACCCATGATTACCGAAGAAGGGACTTCCATCGCTGGTTGCGGTCCAATATGTCACAGCAACCTTTCCAGCTACCACGCAGCGTCTTTCATATCTTCGATAATCTCTCAGATCTTACGATCATACTCCTCATGCCCATCATCCCATCGAATCACTGCATTTCCTTCTGAACATTATCTCAAAATAAGTATTCATTCCAATCTCTCCCTTCCCACTCCCCCATAAGGAATCATCCCCTGGCCCCCATCCACCCTCCTCCACACCACCTCAACCCTCCTCTCACTCTCTCCCTCCCCTTCAATCCTAACCCATCTTCCCTTCCCCTTCCCCTTCTTTCCCCGCGTCGACAACTTCATTTTCATAAACTGCACTTCGGTGTTGAGTTTCGCGCAGAGAGATCGTGTGCGTGAGAGGGTACTTGAGGAGTTAAGACGGGGAGGAGAAGAGGTATGAGATGAGAGGGTGTGTGATGAAGTGTATGAATTTGATGTGGAGAGGGGTCTGTTCCGGTTGAAATTGAAGCTGCGGTGGGCGGAGGTGGTGGTGGAAGAATAAGTCGAGGTGGTCTGTGTAGAGGTTGAGGTCGAGGGACGGAGGAGTGGTGTATCCATTTCCATGTTCATTGTGGATTACTCTGAAATTGTTTGATTTGTGATGGGAAAGTAGGAAAAAGGAAGATAGAAAATGAAATCGATACAGTCGTCGAATTTTGGATTTAGAAAATAGAAAATAGAAAAGAGGAAATATAGAAATTGTTGATGCACCAGGCAATCAATATAGAACTCGAGATGTTCGGATTATTGTACTCTGCCAAAGAAGCTACTAAAAGTGTACATCAATGAAATACACATCGTCTCCATAGAAACCTCCTCTTTCTTATATACTTTTCCATTGCCCCTCCCGCGTCTACAAGTTACCCAAAATAAAACACATGCAACAGAAGTCCTACATGGTTACAGTCTCACTCACCTCATTCTCTGATCCAGGAATCAACAAACCATTCGATAAGTCCCCATAGATTAGACTTCAAACCTGCGGCTGTGGATTGTGTATGCTTTTGGATCAAACAGGACAACTATCTATAGCTACATCAACATGATTGGCATGGAGAGATTTGAAGTCGGACGTCGGGGCGGTAGTGGTACTAGTTTGCTGGGAGAATATTTTGAAACGGGAAAGTTATAGGCTGTGGATTATTCCAGGGGGCTTTTGGGCGCTTGATGGGGTTTGAAGTCTTCCAGGGGTAGTAGGTATGGATTGACATTTGAGAGGCTCGATGATTGTTTGGTGTGAGAGATAATAATAATAATAAGTTTGAATAGTTACTTGCTCCGTACAAATCAATGAATAACTCTTCTTAATTTTAGCCAATGTATGAGTCATGAGCTCTCAATTCACCAAAAGGTGTCCAGCACTTCTTTGAGTTAGTTATTTGAAACAAAACAAAATGATCCATCTCCACTTGAGGTAACGTGACCTACACGATACCAAAATATGCACTCTCCCTCCTTGTTGATGGAAAGGCATGGTACGAGGTGCGGCCCTTTGACGCTCCTCACTCTCTCGTCACTCGTCACTCCTCACTCGTCACTCCTCACTCCTCCATGTTTGCACGCTGTGTTATTACTCGCGTTACTCGTCTCCAAACTATTCTTGGTCCGGGAGTTTGTAGGGCTGGGAGACTAGACACATTGACAAGCTGCAAAAGCCAATTAGGTAAGAGATTCAGAAAGACGTTCTTGTGTACTGTATATTCAATTAATGCGCGACGGTATCGGTAGCTAATTTCACTCAAGAGTGGAGATCCTTCCGAGCCTTTCTCTCAAGGGAACGCACATTTTCATGGTCCGGAGACGAAATTATATATTCCAGGAGATTGATTGAGTAAGATTACCCCGACGAGCAGATTAGACAGCGTGGCAAGTTCAACATGTTCATGAACGGGCATGGGCATGGGCATGGGCATGGATACCAGGTAGGTGTTTCCGTTTCCATTTCCATTTGGATATCGATGCTTCTTCTTATTCCTCTTCATCTGCTCCGTCCGTACGTACATCGTAAGTAAGATCTTACATCCTCACTCATGGAACAACACAGACCACAGACATTACAGCAACTAAGACATCCAAGTCAACTGTCTTCAACCCCAGAACTCCATACAATCTAACTCTGATCTTCTCTTCCTTCCTTCAATACATACGACTTGTGATTCCCATTCCTCTTCACTTCATTCGTTACATTACCTTCGTTACATGACATTGTAAGATCTCACCAGCACAATCAAATCCCGATTCCTCCAGACTCTCACTTGAACACTACCCACCTCCAGCTAGGCTTATTAAGGACGCTTTGGGCAGCCTTGCAGTGTATTTTAAAAAGTTCACTTCACTTGTTTCATAACGCGGAACCCTGCAATTTCTCCTTAACACCGAGGAAATTATTTGATACTCAGAAGGTCTTGCTATTGTACCGGCCAGTATTAGGTTATTCATACCGTGTTGCTTTGAGATCTTTGACCTGAAAAGTCCTCTTCTTGAAAGGAATAGGCAAAAGGATTCTGAGGATTTCAAGGCTGTACCGAGTGAACAATCTTTGTCTGCTGGTAATATCACATTGGGTTCAAGATTTATGAGGACACTTGCAATACACATTCCCGAAACTTACATTACAGAACAAGCAAGTATGGAGACAGCCGAAGAATGCACCGGGCGACCCTCCTTCACCAGACGGTCTCCATCTCCAACCGGAAGGCCTTCACCAGCTATTGGAGCAACGGGGAATTCGGCTCGATGCGTTTCGACAGCCTCCGAAGGCTCAGTCTTCTCTGGCAGATCAAGTGCTATGAGTCGTGCGTCTGAGCAAAGTTCGGTTGGAAGCTCGGTTTCTCGATCTTCGTCTGCGAGTTATGGAAATAGAACATCTATGGCAGGTCAGGAAAGGCCGAAACGACGCGGTTACGTTCGACCACAAGGAACCAATTTTGCAAAGTCGGCACAATCAAGAGAGAGCGTTTTGAGCTTGGGAAGCATAGCACATTTACAGTATTACTTCGCTCGAACCGGTCTGCTGGACGGGAAGGGTGGGCGATTAATGAAGAAGAGGAAGGATGGTAGAGAGACTCTGGATTTATCGGTCTTGGACACGTCATTCCTCGTACCTGGCTCGGGATCTGATGCGGACTCGTCATATGCTTCCACGGCTAGCAGTCCAGAGCTCTCCGCCGCACAGTTTGGCGGTATGATGACGGATAGTCCTATTCACGACTATAATGAGGATGTGGACGAGTATTTTAGCGGCGAAGAAGACGATAATCCTTTACACATGCTCCCTCCGACAGCAAGTACCTATATTCATCGCGAGAAAGTCGTTGCACCTCCCCCAACTCTGAATCAGCTTAGACAGGCGTTGGTGGATGCTCTCAATAATGCTACTGCAGCTTTAGAGGACGCAAAGCATGCAAGAACTCCCCCAGCCTCCCCCTTACCCACATCCAAAGTCGAAAATGCCAATCCCGCAACCCCCGATGCTAAGCAGAAAGGGTGGTTTGAAGTACAGGGTATGAACATGCTGGATATTATGACTCTTGCTATTCGTGCCGCAAAAATGTACTATACTGCCCATGAACATCCCGAACGCCTCTTAGCAATCAAGTCGGAAAGAGAAATTCGGGGAGAGCTATTATCTGTCCTTGAGGTTTTAAAACGGATGGCTACTCGAGGGTTCGCCAATGGAATACGCACCGAAGAAAGAGAAACGATGGATAACTGGGTTGACGGCGTACGTAACATGCTTAGACGGGAGAAAATCCTTGAGGAAGAAGAGCGAAAATTAATAGCGAGTTGGACGTGGCTTCATGCCGATGGTTGGGCAGGAAAGGAAATCGAAAGAGAGTATGCATTCTTGAAATCCATGGATCCGGAACCCGATACCCTTCCACCACTATCATTAGTAGACGATGTAAAAGATGACAGTTTGCTTCCTACACCATTTCTCGCGGAAATGAAAACTGGCCTAAGATTAGTGAAGCTTCATAATGCAGCAGTCAAGAAAAGCAAAAGACCATTTGGAGCAATATCTACGTTCCACACTGAATTCAACAAGCCATATCGATCAGCCGAGAACCTTCGATTCTGGGTCAAGGCCGCTGAGTTGAGATGGGAAGCAGATGTCAAATTTGACGTCATGGGAGTTGTAAATAGCGAGGACCGTGATGCATGGGAAGGATTCGAAGAAGTAATTTGGAAATGGTGTCGAATGGTTAGGGAAGAAATATCGGAAGAACTCAAAAGACCAAGAAAGATGTCTATTAAGGTCTAATTGTAATGGACTAATCAACCCGATTTTTGTTATGAGTTTTTATCTTCATGTGTTTTCACGCTAAGGCTAGGGAGGGAAAGAGATAGTTCTCTCTTACATACCAGTTATTTTTTTGCACATAATTAGGGTGGATTTTATGGAGAGAGGCTATCGGACATATAGGTTTTTATGGGCATATATTTTGTAGTGTTTTTTTTTTCTTCATCTTTTCTTTTCATCTGCGCTCCTTGCGCAACTTTGGTTTTTTGTTGCAGTCTTCTTTTCTCTTCATTCGCACTGCGCTGCACTGGCTTTGAAGGAGTACTATACCCATACATACCCACACTCCCACTACTTTTAGCTATATATACATACCTTAAGTGCCTTTTACAGAGCGCTCCTCATCGTGAACGATGAGATGAGATGAGATGAGATGGGCAAATAGAATTATATCAAGTTCTCAATAGCTACCTACCTACCTAATCAATATATATCCTATTGGTAATAGAATCTCATCCTCATCATGTCTTTACCCAATGCGGGAATTTTCCTGGCGCCTGATCGTGGTAGTTTGTGGTAATGTGATATCGATGCTGTGATTTTTTCTTTTAGGTTTTCTGGAGTCTATACTTACCTGGAGAGATATCTAAACCCAAAAGCTTACGTAGTGACGATGGCGCAATAATGCAGGTTTGACATGCTTAGTGCGGGATATGGGGTTAGATGTGGGGAGTTGTCTTTGACTTCTCTGGTTATCATTGTGTCGAAATGGGAGAGTTTATCGAGCTAGGTGTGTCAGGGAAAAGCTAATAGGTGTCTAGAGTTCGAAGCGAATTTGGATTTGGATTTGGATTTGGAACTTATTCTGGTGCAATTTTTATTTTTTTGATGCGCGTTCTAATGTTGAGACGTTTTTGATCTTTCGCACAATGGGTGTTTTTGGAAACCTATGTGCACAATAGTGATATTGCGGGTGGTTTGGATCTTCTTTTTCCTTTCTTGATTGTAATTTCTTCCTCCTTCTCTTCTTCTTCTTCTTCTTCTTCATCATCATCATCTGTCTTTCGCTTCTTAAAGCTGCGGAAAACACTACCCATAATTTTTAATTTTCATCGTTATACAATATAACATGATCAGATATCATGGTATCTAGACGACGATAATTGTAATATGTAATCTATAATCTGTACTCAACATTCTATATCTCTTCAAGGTAAGCAGTGCGATGAATTACTATGCAATATACTTCTGACAAGCCGAGCAGAGAAAAAAAATACGATACCCCGCCGGCATCTATCTGTATTACTCCCTCGCGCCGTTTTCAAAGATCCAGCAACCATGGGATTCATCCAGCGTGTCGAGGAGAAACTGTTCAGGTTGTGGAAAGCAATTGATAAAACCCGTCCTGGCTCTCTCCAAGATGTCCATCTAATTAGAACCGCATCGCAGGCATCGATTACGCTTTCGGTTTGCAAAGAACGCCTACGATTGGCGAAGGAGGCTGAGAAGCAGGAGCAACGGGAGAAGAAGACTCGCTTCAAGGAGACTTGCAAATTGGTTGAGGATATCTTTGAGTGGTCGATTGGTTTGAACGAATGTCAAGGGATTGCTAAAGAGGCAAGGGAGGGGAACGATCTTACGGGTGTCAAATCTTCGCATCGTGAGATCGAAGGTGGATGTTTGAACGCGGATGATTGGGGCTGGGATAAGGTGGAATGGGATGGGGAGGAATGGGATGGGGAGAAACAGAGCGAGGAAAAATAAAGTGAGGAAAATGGAAGCGAGGAGAAGCAGGATAGTTGCGTCGAAGATGTTGAGCATGTTGAGCATGCTGAAGATCCATAGTATTATTTGATACCAGATTCGGGTTGGAGGTAATTTACAATGGGCGTCTGAATGATGAGAAGCGTTAGCGAACTTGAAAGATAGCAAATGGAAAGATCATGGAAATGTAGATGAACATTATCCGAGTCGAATGATTTGAGACATCTAGAATAGATCACATAGTTTGAATTTCATTTTGATAAATCCAGAATTTACACAACGACAATGATGCATGCTTTTTAATGATTCATTCTCTACTCCTGGACCTGCCGAGGTACGAGACATGACAGTATTTCTAGCCGCCATCGCAAACCAAAATCTTTTCATGATCATGACTCAAGACTTTTTCATCGTGATATCTATCAAAATAAGCAATAATTTAACCTTTACTCTACTTGAAGCTAAATTGAGAATTTTGCTGATCGCTTGATATCACATGATGACTACTAAACTTAGAGGGTGATGAAAGGGTGAATTTCACCTATTGATAAAGTGAAACACGCTAGATCCGCTTCACGGCGGCGTGATTTTAGGTTTTGAGTTTTTTTTGACGTGTCATTTGCAATGCACCATTTGAGTATTTAAGGATTTTTTTCTCCTCAAGAATTTTTCGATTCTTTCGTTGAATATACATACATTTACTCAGGTTGCTTGCTTAATGAATATTCCACAAGATATCATACTATGCAATAGTACGTCTCAAAATCAATTATAACACCAATTTCCACCAATTAAAAAACCGAATAACTCAAAGACATGGCAACCATGGGCGCGAAAAAATTATTCTTCAAGCTTCGGAAGTTTCAAAACGGAATCAAACCTTCTTGCGCTCAGAATCCACAACTCCAGAGGGTCTCCACGAATGAATCATTAACCTTCTCTTTTTATGAAAGCAGGAAGGCGACCGAGAACAAATCAGCAAAAGAAAGAGCGGCGAGAAATTTTTTAGTAGAAGAAGAACAAAGAAAGAAGAGGAAAGACGAGAAGAGCCGGATAAAAAACGAGGCACAAGAAGCAAAACAGAGGGTAGCCAAGGAATACGCCGTGGCTCAATTAAGTTTGCAAGAGATGAAGGCCCAGTTGAAAAATCCGAAAAAGAAGGAGAAGACAACGAATGGTGGTTCTACTCCTACGAATCCTGATCAGGACGAAACTGATGAGGAGTGGGACTCGAAGGGCGATGCGGTGAGCTTGAGAGAGTGGGCTTGAAGAGATAGGCAGGGAGACGAATTCACCATGAGTACTTGGGGTTTGAAGAATTGATGAGAGCGAATTTGAATAGCAGCATACTGGAGTTTCTGGCTTAATGATATAATAATGTTTGTTATCAAAATTTGATAGTAATACAATGCCATTGAGATGGAAATTTGTTTGAAATGCAGAATTTCGTGACAGAATGGACATTATGGACAACACTCAAATATAAGGGTTCCTACTAGAAGACGCCATGCCATGAACAGCACCGGCATTCTACCCAGTTGCTGTAAGATAAAAAGAAAGGAGATTCGAGAAAGCGTCAGGAAGAGGTCAATAGACCTGCGACGATAAAAGGCATCAAGCGTCTTGCACAACTACGTACTAGACCTGGCCGCCTGAACACCTTTTAAGAACGCAAGTGCTCATCCTGAATTTGAAGCCACCTGCTTTAGATCAACGTACTCCTTCTTTCCAAATCCCCAGCATTCACTTCTTTTCTTCATCTTAGCTATAACTTTTTAGGAAGACAGCAAGAGAAGGAATATCTGAGCATTCGATGAACATACGATACGAATCTTCATCTACTGTCATAGTTTCAGTCCTTTGATAAGAAAAGACTTGCAACTTTCGTATAGAATGATGAGAAGGGAGCAGGCCTCGAGGTGGCATGATCGTACCTGCCTGAGCAGTGTCACTGGATGCTGTAGTGATAAAATTGGATGATTTTCTCACTACAGACACACCTCACACACAGATCGTAAGCTTGTCATTGGTTCTAACCTCACCCCGCCATACACTAAAAATGATAAAACCAAAAATGCAAATCCCTGCCCAACACGTCTCGCGTCGCGTCTCCCCATATTTTTCTTTTTCCACTCACCGAAACTTTGTTTCCGCCGCTTTCCAAAACCAACACCAATTCCGAACGTTAATCTTCACTCACACTCACACTCGCCCACTCCATTTCACCTATACCCTCTTTACCAAATTTCCCTCCCATCCTCCCATCTCAATGTCCACACTTCCGCCCCATTCTCCCACCTCACCACTTCCCAAACGTCAAAAGACTTCGTCCGCGAGCTCGCCTTCAAAATCCACTCCCGCAGCCGCTGCCACCTCGTCCCTCCAAGAAATCATGTCTTCCACTCCAAGCACCGCGCCCACCACAACTCCAGCACCGGCAACAAACGGTTCGGCCCCTGCCCCCACACCCCTCAAATCATCTACCCCTCCTCCCCTCCTCATTAAGAAACTTTCCCCCCGCGCCCGTCTCCCTACACGAGGTAGCGCTTTCGCTGCCGGTTACGATATCTATGCTGCAAAAGAAACAGTTGTGCCTGCTAAGGGAAAGGTTTTGGTGGATACTGATATTAGTATGGCTGTGCCAGATGGAACTTGTATGATTTTTGTCCCCCGTTACCCCCTCTGTTTATTCCACTCTCTCGCTGTATTACTTTATCTTCACTCAATTCCCCTTGTTTAACTAACCCTCTGTTCAGATGGCCGTATAGCCCCACGCTCTGGACTTGCCTCTAAACACATGATCGATACTGGCGCTGGCGTAATCGATGCTGATTATCGAGGTCAAGTTAAAGTACTCCTCTTTAACCACGGCGAAAAGGATTTTGAAGTGAAGGAGGGCGATCGTGTAGCACAATTGATTTTGGAGAGGATTTATACACCAGAGGTTACAGAGGTTTTGGTTTTGGAGGAGAGTGTGAGGGGTGAAGGTGGCTTCGGAAGCACAGGTTAGATTGTGAGGATGGGAAGTAATAATGAAGTTTCGAGGGTAGTTTGGATCGGTGGAGAGAATTAGATACACCGTGCTGTGCACACTTCAAGGAAGGGAGACTGTGGCTCGGAGAGAAATAGACAAAATGAAGAAATCTATCGCTATCTATTATGATACATCTATGTATTCAGGATATCTAAGATGTAGCTCCCCCCAGGTCTACACACTTTCTGCTCTAAATCTCACTACTGGATTCTTCAGAAAGTGCACATTCCTAACCAGTCTCACTTCAGCCGCCTTCGACCTAACCAACCCCTCTCTCTTAGAATCCTCATCCTTTGCCCTTCCACCGACAACATTCTTCCACTTCTCAATCTCCTCATCTCTCGCAATCTTTGTCTTCGCAAGCACTTCATGCATACTAGCCAAAACCTTCTCCGTGGCTCTCGCAAGCGGTAATTCCGTAGCCTCAACATCATCGTCACTGATCCACGCATCTTTCTCCAATAGTCCTTCCACATTACACACTGCCTCTTTCAATCTCACCAACATGAGCGCTGCAAACATATCTCCAGTTCCACTAAAGAAACAATCAATCGCCGGTATCTTGATGCTAAAGATTCTTGCTTCGGCTGTCGATGTCATAGTCGAGCCTACGACCGAAAGATGGGGCTCCGCGCCGGGAGATGGAAGTGAAATGGATGTAACCATTATATGAGGGATTTTGTATACTTCGTGTAATGTCGTTATGGCCAATTTGAGTGTATCCATATCTTGGATTCTGACACCAGATAGTGTCCTACGAGAGTCAGCTAATTTGTACTTCATCTTTTCCAGAATTCAAACTCTCTTGGGAACAGAAAGATGGGTACCCTACTCAACCTCAAATTGATTTGGTAGAATCAAATCTGCATCTTTGATCAATGCTTTATAAGCTGGCACCACATCCTCCGCTACATATAATTTCCCGTTATCCCCCATAACTGGATCCAACACCCAGAAGAAACTTCCCGGTCTCATTGTAGTTTTTAATCTCAGATCGCGTGCGATTGTGCCAACAGCTTCTACAGATGCAGCCCCAGGCAGATAACCCGAGAGCATCATATTGAAATCGTCGAGATATGAGTTCTTCAGTCCTTGATAGAGATCCGATATTTCGGTCGCGGTAGCGCGTGTGCCTTTGGCTTGTCCATAACCTAGATGATTGCCTTTTCATACACCTGTCAGCCTTAAATCCCATCTAGTTTTCGTATCGATTTGCGATGGGGCATGTATTCAGGCTAACATACTGAACTGTACTGTATTCAGAGCAGCGACTTCGCATCCTAGAGACTGCATAACGAATGTGGCCATCGTATTTCCGACATATCTTTAGTAGCATTATATGATTTAGTCGACTTGCATATAGAATGTAGAGAGAATTTGTGACTCATGGGACTCACCCGTAAACAACCTTGAGCAGACAACGTTAGTTCAGCAAAAGTCGTGTAAGGGTGGCCTTCCTACATGACTGGCTACGGCAAGAACTCGTGTATCTGGCACGGGGAAATCTTCAGACATCTTACTTGTTTGGCGGAGATGTTGCTTCGTGAAGAAGAGGGGGGTTGATGTGAGATATCGGATCGAAATGCGCCGGAACCGCTGGAAAAGGGCTGGCAAGGGGAGTTTTAATTGCAGACCAAAGTGTCTCAAAGAGAACAACAAAACTTCGGATACAAATTTTGTATCCTAAAAGCTCATTGCTGAAGAACGTTTTGTTATTCTTCAACGAAGGGAAAACATTAATCTTATCTTGCTCCAGATTTCATGCTGACAATATGGATAGTGGGGGCATCAGGTTTGCCCCGCGCTATCCTCAATCCAGGAACATGCATGAAGACCAGCAAATTTATGTGTGCATACAGGAGATGACAAAAATGTTTTAAGAAAAATTGTTCTCCGAAGGTATCTTGTTTTTGTTTTGTAACAGATTCTATAGAGAAAAATCAACCAATTGCTTCATCGCATGCCATGTACCGAGCAGCAAAATCATTCATGGCACAATTTACCACGACCATTGTCCATATCCATAAACCAACCCACGCGCCATATCGAATATGCTGTAAACTTTGATATCATTGTTCATTAATCTTTTTCGACAACCATACCTACTCGTCATCACCAATCTGGAATAAACTGTTAGCTTCTCTAGATCTGAACACTAGGTGATACATGTAAACATACCTTTGGTGCCAAGTAAAATCTCAAGTAACTGCTTCCGGCAAGCTGGTATTCCACCAAGAGAGGAACCTCATTGGATAAGCAAAGTTTGACAGACTTAGACAAACCAGCAGCCTTGCAGAAGTTGACCAAGTATTTGAGGGAGAAGGTCAAGGAGACCGGTTCGGTAAGCTCGATATCGACGTTGAGATCTGGCTTGTCCATATTGCTATGGCTGCGAAGGGTGACAGCACCATTGCCAATGTCACCAGCACAGGAGAACTTAACACCATCTTTTGAAGCCTCAATTGACACTAATTGGCAAAGGATTAGTACAACTTCTCATTTTGAAAGGGAGAGAGAAACGGGGACACTGAGACATACCAGACTCGGACAAAGCCATAAGATCGACACAGATTCTCTTAAACTCCGAACTTGGCATGTTGATGACTGCCGCATATTCTGTATCAGGGATACCCAAATGTTCTTGATCGATATCCATCAACTTTAAATCATATTCGCTCAATCGATCGCTTTCACTGCTCTCAAATACCAAGTTCAAAACATCTGGTGCATCCTCGGCCTTGATGGTGAGAATATCCTCGTTTTGTGCAGCTCGCAGAACCTTTGTGAGAGAAGTGAGATTGACACCAAGGGCGACATTACGGTCACATCGGTAAGGAGAAAATCCTTCAGCCTTTAGCATCATCGATACGAGCGCAACGTGCGAGTTATCCATAGCTTGGAGCGCAATTCCTGAATCATTGCAGTCGAAGTTGCAGTCTTGAACGAGATCTTTGATGGCGTCGACAACCTAAATTATACCATCAGCACAAGAAAGGAGATTAATGATTCTTTTCCCTTCTTACCTTCTTGAGGAGGTCTGCTTGTTCGAGGCGGGCTTCTAACACTAGTACATAGTTAGTATTGTGATGTCGGAGAATAGAATACTAAAATTGTAACATACTCTTGACGGTATTGAAGTCTGCAAATGCAAAGATATGAGCGTTAGAAGCTTATAAGAGCGTTATTTGTGGAAGGAATATTCTGGATTGCAAAGTTGATTGTTTGACTTTTTGAGGCTGCGACGCGGTGTCGAGAAAACGCGTAGAGTGGTTTTTTGGCTGGTGCACAGACCTAAAATATAGGCCAATCACAGCGAATTGATGGAATTTCAACCTCGCCTACGAAGTGTTAAGTTCAGCTAGGTATAGCAATTAGACAGCTATACGCTCATCCAGCCATATACTTGATTGGCATAAAGCTGGGTTTCAGGCACTGGCAAGTTATCATGTTTACCTCTAGTCAGCTACTCCGCAAATCAACCTTTCTGAGTGTTGGCTTTTCTTACAAAAACGAATTAGAGTAAGAAAATTGCTTTCCAGATACCAGCGAGCCATCATTTCATGAAGCTTCATTCAGCCTAATGTCTACTTCAGATCAATCTTCTAATTGTTCGAATTCTATTCTTGCTCTCAGATCCCAATTCTTGCCTGGCCAGTACCAAAATATCATTCTTCTGAATGTCTAGATTTAGATCATACATTCTATAGTTACCCTGGAGTCACTTTGAAGTCATGATTTTAGAATCATATACCTATACACAGCAAATTGATCTTCCATTGTTCGAATTCTAAAGCTGATTATTAGCCACAATACTATTTGCCCAACAATTCAGTATATTCCCCTTAGCACCCTCCCTATTGTTTGAGTGAAATTCGGACATTCAATTGGTTGAAGAGGGCGTTCATGTCTTCTAGTCTGCATCCCTTTGTTTCTGGCACGTAAAGCCATGTCCATATACCAGATAGCGCACAAAAACCCCCGAAAAAAACATATGCTCCCCAATTCGTATATACTACTAGCGGCGGCGTGATCAGACCAATGATGAAATTGTTCCTAATTGATTTAGTAAATGAAAGCCGTCTCAAGGGCTACCTTCGCTAGTCAGACTTACAGCCAATTAGAGCAGGTGCTTAGAGCGACGCCTTTTGCACGAAGATCGCTTCGGAAGATCTCTGATGGCATTGCCCAAGGAACAGGACCCCAGGATGCTCCAAAGGCCACCATATAGAAGAGCAGAAATGCTACACTAACCCAGGCAGCTGCTTGGTGGGCGTGCCAGTTATAGGAAAACAGACAGACCATTATGGCTATCATAACATGGCTAATAGTCATAAAAAGCGAGCCTATCATCAATAAGGGCCTTCTTCCATATCGATCCATCGTAAACAGACTAGAGACTACACCAACAAGCCTATGCTCGGTTAGCATACTAGCTTCAGGCATACTAGCTTCAGGGGGTGTTCCATTGTTCCCAAACAATATGAAGGTTTAAATGGTTAGGAAAGGAAGGGCTTACTGGCAAATATTTAGAACGCCCGACATTATAAGTTGCATTTCCGACCCCAGGCCCATTCTAGCAAACAGAGTGGGAGAATAGTAAATTAAGGCATTTATACCGACGAATTGTTGGAAGAACATCATAAGTATACCAACGTGTGTACGTTTAATAGAATCCGACGCAAAGCAATCTCTCCACAAAGCTAGCTCGAGCTTTATTGATGAATTCATAAGTTTTTCGTGTTTTTGTAGGTGAATTTCTCGAATATGCGACGCTTCGTCACGTATATGACGTGCTTCTTCCTGAATCCTTGGATCAGTATCGGGCAATTGTCTCAGCGTCGAAAGGACTTTTAGAGCCTCCTCATCGCGACCTTTAGAAGAAAGCCATCTTGGCGAAAAAGGAAGGAAGTACACCCCAGCCCCCAAGAATAAGGCAGGAACGATTTGTATAAAGAAAGGAAGGCGCCAGCCCCACTCGCCACCTAGATATCTTGTGCCGAAGGTTATCCAGAAAGCGACGACGATACCTACAACAATCGAAAGCTCCTCTGCATGACTAGTTAGCACTTTGATTGTGTGAATTGTATTGGGACAATTAAATACTTGCCCATGACGAGTAATACACCACGAATCTCCGGTGGAGCGATTTCCGAGATATACATGGGCGTAACCATTGATAGCATCCCAATACCGATGCCTCCCACTAGTCTGGCAACAATGAGCATGTTGAAGTTGACAGCCACAGTTTGTAAAATGCTGCCAAAGAGGAATATGATCACAGCGATTATTATAGAGTATTTCCTCGAGTATCTGTCCGCAATCCAACCCTGATTCAAAGCACCGAAGAATGCCCCAAGCTCGATCATAGCCGTCAAAATACCCTTCCAAAATCCGCTAGAATGGGGGCCTATACGAGGAAAGTCCAGAACGAAGCTGTCCATGACAAGAACGACGGAGACTACGCCTTGGTCATACCCTGAATGAAGTTAGAATATTAAAATATGTTAGAGCATTCAAACAAGGTAGAATATGCAAATAAGTTAGAACATTTAATTGTCTGTAACAAAAGCCAACAATCAAAGGGCCAGATTATATACGTACCGAACAGAAGTCCGCCAACCGTGCTCAAAACGGCGGCCCCAGCAACGTAAGGCGAAGCGATAATGCCTCCAAATCCGCTTTGAACATAGGGACGATAACGAGCATCCATATTCTCTTCTAGGCCGTTTGGTGTATTCGAATATGCAGAGTCCATGACCTTCTCACTTATGTCGGGCAAAGCTGAAGAAGCCATCTTATCATTCGCAGCTTTCAATGTGCGAAACAATACCAGAGATTGTGAAAAAGTCGAATGTGCTGAGAAGTTTCTTAGGGTTAAGAGATGTGAAGATGAGGTTTCCATCAACTGCCACCATTGCCAGATCACTCACTGAGTTACAGTTGCCCTGCATCGTGCTTGACAGTTTTTACTCATGCCAAAGCAACGTATGAAGAAAGTGCGACCACATACCTAGTACCTACTTACTTGGAGGCCCAGGAGTGTAGAACCGATGCTTTGGATCGAAACGAATCAAATGCACTTGTCTTTGCTCTTCAGTTCTTCGCCCGGAAAGACTGAATAGAGCAAGAGGTATAAAGTTTTGAAACGACTTTGCTTGGACAACCTTCTCTTTTCTTTTCTCAAGCAAATATAATTCACGAGTGAATGATTTTTTTTGATTGAAGTATGGCGACAGCATCATATGCTCCCACGTGGCTCCTTCCTGCAGCTATGGCCAGTCAGGAGTTGCCCACAACCATCTGATTCATGCGGATCGGAAGGAAGTTTCCCTATGATTATGTTTTTCTCCTTGGACTTGAGAGTCGAGAATTAACCTTCCGGTTTTTTGGCGACTCGAGAGATTACTTTGGAATTCCAATCGCGATTGAAGCGCCTCTCAAGGGTTTTACAAGCTCGCAGAGATATAAAACTATTTTAAGAAACCTCATGGCTTAGCCCACCCGGCCTTTGGATCCCCACCTTCTGTCGATCAAACCAACACAACATCAACCCCTCTAGGTAGATCATTTATGACACACTACCTTGTATGGTGTTGCATTTTGTAAAGTGTTTGCAATGAAGGTTGGCTTACGGAGTTTTTCATTCATTGGAACCTGTATATTGGCTGTGGATTTTGTTACGAGGCAGGGAGGTTGTTGTAGATAGATGCACAAGTACAATGATATAATTGATTCTTCAGATTGGCTGGCTGTATTGCCTTGAGATTGTCTAGCGGAAGCGCCGTTTCGACTCATAGGACAGAGGGGAAATAGGTTAGATAAGCCACCATGACCACCTTACGGCGTGTACCGAATCCTCATCGCATCCTACCTTCGGGGACGGGGAACCCTTGCGAAGCTCGTGGTGCAAGCGATCATGATTCATGATGATCAGAGATCCATATCACCGATTGAGTTCCGTTATCGTCGAGATGCTGCTTCAACGTTGATATCAAAACAATCCGGGAATGCCGGTTTGTTGCATCGAGTCTCGTAGAACATTCCCTTGTGCTTGCCACAATTTCATGGGTTCCTTGATCGTTTCAGACAATTCCCCGCCGCACACTTGCAGTGTTCATGAAGTATTACATATACAATGTCCAGTAAGACTGACTGTTCAGCTGAGACCCATCGCAGACTATGCTCGATGTAGGCGTCACGTACCAGCATGGATATGTTCTCTGTTCGCTTCGAGAAGGTGTAAAGGTGTGTGTGTGTGGATACTTTGTTCCGTTAGAATGGGGGACGCTGATCAAATAAGGTCTGTTGGTTTACATATGCCACATGGGCATGGGTTTGAAGATATTAAACCAGCTTATCTCGTTGATCTCCAAGATAGGAAGTATATTTTGTTTGACATGTGCTGGGCATGGAACTAGGCCCAGGAGATTGAGATTGTGAGATCTCCTGGGCCCCGGAATGACTGAAGATGGAAAAAAAGCGATTGGAAAGAGTGAAATACAATGATTTAGGTATGAGGTTGTTTTATTACCCAATTGTTGAAGATAATGCCGATTTGGTATTTTTGCGAGTCTACGGGGTTTTGCTTTCGCTTTTACGCCATTATCCTATCAAACTCGTGTTAATATTGAATCGTTATTAAATTCGCTGAGGTTATATTCGTAAATCTGCTTGATTTCGTACGTGAAAGATATCGTGATCGATGGGGTCGGGCATGATAGTAATTTGCTCTTTTGACGGCGTCACTTATACTATTCTTACCTTAATTACTAATAATTACTTAGAGATGAAATGATGGTCACTTTTCTTGTAAAGGTTTTGAGACATTCTAGAGACGATGTAATGTCAGAATGTATGGTGGTGGAACATGCAGCCATCATCACATAAGCAGAGGTCGGAAAGCTGGTCAAGCAATTTGAATATCACCTTTTTTAGAAATCAGCATTAACCATTCAGCAGTGGCTCGTTTGCACAATACTAAGATACCTAAGGACAAGGTATTCCTCATACAATCATACTCGAAGAGGTACATATACTTGAGTCTATTTGCCCACATGACGAGGTTACAAGCAGTTAAAGCAGGTAAGCACTTAGAATGTGAGAATGCAACGCTGCCAACGATCAAATTGGAACTTGTCACGAAAATCGAAATGAGGTAATCATGGGGGGGGGGAGGGGGGATTCTGGAAGTGTTCTATCTTGGCTAGCTGCAGGTATGCGGGTTGGAACAGGCCAGGGCTGCAGATACTATTGTAGCCAGGTCAGGTAGCGGTGTTGTTGTTTTGTGTTTATTTTAAGTGTCATGATGAAATCGAAACGACCATGGGATATCCCTTCTTGAACCATTGAATGAAAGAACTTGTTTTGGTGATGATATTCGTGATGGGATTCGTGATGATGCATTGGGGACAGCGGGTGATTTGTGAGTCGTGCGGTAGGTTGGTTCAGCATGTAGATTTGATGAGATCTCTAGGTCAAGGTGGCGTAATGCCTCTCTTTCCATAATTTACCATGTACTGCGTGGAGCATTGTTGGACGGGCGGGACAAACACGGTGTCCAAATCCATATTGTATCTTCCGTATAACTATACCCAAGATAGAAGTATAGTGATTACAATGAACTAGCACCTTCCAAATTTGGATCTTGAAACAATCGAAAATGGAAGTATGGTGAAGTTTGAAATCATCAGTCATATCTTAAATGATCCTTTGAGCCTCTTTCCTCCTTGGACAGTCGACAATAGCTAATCGTACAGAGCCGCGGTGAGTCGAGGCCCGAAAGTACAATGCCGCATTTCCAGCGACGGACAATTCATTCAAGAATGGGATTCCTCGATTCCGGATCTCGGGTTCGTCTTCAGTTGGTTCTATTTTGAGAAATTCTCCCACCTTCGAGTATTCACCGACGCTGCCTCGAGAACCATGTTTCAAACTCCACATACTGTATGAATGTAATCATGGTGCCATGTTCCAAGTGTGCTGATAATGATCAGTCCATGAACTTTGCCCCATATTGCCGTATCGCTTCGAAGATTCTAAATTACAATACTGTAGCCACATGCAGGTGATACTCGTCGAAATTGATTAGGTCCAGACGAAGCAATAAGATTTTGATGATATCGATACCTGGTATAAACGAGGCCGAGGTGGAATTCGCATTGGATAATCACCTCACCGAACGACGATTGGTAGAAAGGAGGGCTAGTAAGTCTGTGAGCGATATCGATGCGAGATTCAAGATGGGCATGTTTTGGTAGCTCTTACGATCGCACGACACGACCCACCGAAAGGTAGTGTGAACGTTGAGTATGATAATATAGATGTTGTATTATTCAGTGAGAGTGGAACTCATGAAATCCACATATTACCAAGTATAGATCTTTTCCACAAGGCAACGAGATTTTAGATATTAGCCCTGCGAGTATATCACATAAGTGACATAACCTAATACTGATACATCATAGCGTTGTAGATTTTATCAGCCCCTACCATTGTTAAGCGAACCTGTAACGCGGTGGACATGAAGTTCTTCGCGCGTTGAACAAATCAACAATCTATGCTACCTCTGATGGAAATTTAATCAAGCCAAAATTACAAAAGATATTCTCAGCGAGGCTGCGCTGGGCTGCTGAAATCAGAAGTGCACATCTCACAAAATTAAGATTACATATACCATTTTTATACCATTTGAATTACACAAAGACTACCAAACAGTGCTACGTCAGCGAAGTACTGACTGTATTTTGCTCGTGTTCTTCGTCAAAACATGACATCCCGCGCAGAAAATAGATATACGATAATGGTGATGCAAACAGAATTAAGACACACCTAGGTATGAAATGATTTTGCCGCTTGAGAGCCTCGGCTACCTAGGTATTGAAATGAGAACAGCTCATTACTTGAGAGATGGGGGGGACAAGCTTGAAATGAACGAGATCGTTATTTTTAGCGCGCCTAACTTGTTGGTATGGAGATACCGAAGATTTCAACCAGGTGTAGTCTGCTTTCTTGATTGTTCTTCTGTCACGAATGAAATTTAAAGTACGTTTTATATGGAGACAGCGGAGTTAGACATGCTTGTGTTTATCAGACTGATGCAGCAGCGGTGCCATGCACATAATCCCTGGCTAATTCACTCAAAAAACGTGGGTCTGGCAGGAGAAAGTTGAGATGGTAGGGATAGTTGAGATGGAGTAGGGATCAAGGGGTCAAGCAACTAAAGAACCAAAAGAGTTGTTTCCATCTATCGGAACTTTGTGATTGTAAGGTTAGCATCCAATTTTTATGCGGTTGATCTGCAACTTACCATTGTTGGCAGTTTTAGTCTGTTCCCGTTCATTTGGGCATGCACCATTATGGAACTTTCTTTTGATCCCTTTTCTTGCCTGCCTGCCTACACTAAGATTATTGTTTTGCCTGGTCACAGTACAAGGCAAGCCTCTTCTAAATTGTCAAGCTTGCGGTTCATGACAAGATGACATTGACGGTATATGAAATCATATCGGAGCATTGACATGTTGTGTAAGCGCGCGCAATATCTCTTTACGTTGGTCAAATTGCACTTCCTTCGTCAAAGCTACAATATACTACGTCTGATAAATACTACTCAATGGAGAATAACTGCTCGCATATTTTCGATCTTTTCAAGGCTAGCTTATAAAACGTCAACCATGGTGCTGGTCTGCTACTACTACCACATAATAACAACTGTCAGATCTCCCACGAATTAGGCTAAAAGTGTTGTGTTACAAATTACCCGCAAGTTTGGGAATGTCTCTTCAGCATGCCAATCAGACGGTAACCTCAAAGTAACGACGATCAAATTAGAATCTAGGCGGACACTTTACGTTTACCTAGTTTTTTCATTACCGAAAGTTGCTTCATTACAGATCCCACTCCAATGCACCAAAGAAAAAATCACTCAGACGCTGGATGGTTGTTCAATTAGAATTACCATTAATTAAATCTGGCTAGCTCACATATTATGGGCCCTTTGAATGGTCTCAATGGGGTCCGTGATGAGCGGCGTAGCCCATGATTGAGAGGGGAAAATCTCCTGTGCTCCTGGTTTAACTTTTTTATGGTGTGCCTCGTCCCTTTCCTTAGAAAGCCCTACGGTCGCGCTAATTTTTCTTAATCGTTGACGTGCCCAGATGAACCCAAAGTGCGGGTGTGTCGCTCTGGCGCCTGTTTTGTTTTCCCCCATCTCTTCACACAAGTCGCTCTCAGGTCGAGGGGCAACCATGTTTGACAGGGTTCAGAATCCTTTGAACATATCCCCAATCTGACCAATCACATGCTGATGGGAGCAGCGCTAGAGCGCCTTCCACTTCATGCTTTAGGTACTTTAGAGCCTTACTCCCCTTGGATAACTTGAGGCGAAGACCTTGATTTAAGTGCCTCCTGGAATCCCTCGAATAGAACCAAAATAGGTACATCACAACGTCTATTATTCCTCATCAAAGCCGAGTTTATAATCTCCCCAGATCCGAAAGTAACGTCAGTCTATTTCGAGTGTCTCATCTCTTCAAAGCTATCTGTATGTGCCGCCATTACTAGTCACAGCCTTCTTATCCCCTGCACAGATGGATTCATCGTATGTGGAGCACAGAGACTCACGTCAGTTCAGGTCCCGAACAGACAGTCACCTGTCATCAACTACAACGCAATTTCAAGGTCTTCTTATTGAGACTGACCCCGCCACTTCTTCAAACCATCAAGTTGGTATATCTTCATCAGACTCAGCAGCAGCAGCAGCCTCAGCTACAACAGCTACCACGCTCATTAGTTCACCGACGCCCACATTCCTTCAACAAAAATCTGAATCTTCAACTGCCACTGGTCTATCGTCACCAGGCCCTCAGCAATACACACCATTTCCGATCCTCAATAAGAGTGAAGTTGACACAGACTGGTCCCGTATCACGAATTCAGAAGCTCAATCAGGCAACTCACTTGAATTACGCATCCATCCAGGGCAAACGTTTCCTGGCATTGAACACCTTGAATATAAACTTCCTACTCATTCAAATTCACTTCCAGCAACTATGTCTACTCTTGGTATGCAGCACTATGACCCACGGTTTGATGCCGGTGCACGACCATCATACACTTGGCCTCGTATGTATTCAAAGATCTTCTGAAAGTATTAGGACTAACTAGAGCAGAATTTGAGATGAATGAACAATTCATCCAACAACATGATTTGAGCCCACATATGAGCCCACATATGAGTCCACATATGAGTCCTGGACAACTATCACCATATAACGAGCTTAAGCCAACACCAATATACGCACGAGCCATTTCAGATAGTCCACCACGAGCAAGTCTCACGGCTGAACAGAGGGAACTGAAGCGTCAGCGCGATCATGCAAGGAGAGAAACGAAAACGAGACAAAGAAGGGAGAGATCTCTGAGCAATCCATACGCATCAAACAGAACCACACCAGACATGTTACCACGAACTCTCCCAGATCACTATTCAAACCCTAATTCGCTTGCTCCAACTCCACTCTTATCACAAGGTCCTTCTAATCACGGCCTCCCCAGTCCATCTTACCTCGCACCATACTCGCCACAAGTATCTGTGACCGATACCACATCTTCAGATATGTATGGGCCAGTTTTCACAATGGGCCCAAATGATTATACATCAATCTCAGCGTATTCAGCACCATACTCAATGGGGGGCCCTGAAGGCACCCTTCCTTCATACGCGTATGTAATTTCCACAAAAATGAATTTTCAGTCCGAATTATCTAATTAACAATTCCTAGTCCTAGACCACATTCCCTCTCATCTGCTTCCGACCAATCTAGCCTCGGCAGTATCTATGTACCACACACACACTCACTTTCTCCTTTGACTCCCCTCTCCTCGATATCTCAACCATCACCCCTCGAGCCTCGCGATCACGTTCGCGTAGTGCAATCGCGACCCAAGCCCCAGTGCTGGGACCATGGCTGTAATGGTCGTCAATTCAGTACCTTCTCCAATCTTTTACGTCACCAACGTGAAAAATCAGGCGTAGCGAGTAAATCTTCATGCCCCAACTGTGGCGCCGAGTTCACGAGAACTACTGCTAGAAATGGCCATATGGCACATGAGAAATGTAAGCAGAGAAGAAATTCTTAAGCTAGCATTGCTCTACTGGTTTTTCTTTCTATTCGACGCAGCGGTGCGTTTCATTTTCAGGGGCTGTGCAACACTCGGCGTGGGTTTGATTTATTTGGGGGCTGCTCTTTTTCATCATGTACATGAATTGGACATTATATGCGACCGTACGAGGTAAGACGAGATGAGACGAGACAAATGGGCTATGAGAAAGAATGAATGAATTGTAAGAATATCGGGTACAGGGTCATCTCACAATTTCATCGTCACACTCATCACCATTATCGTATTCAAGTCTTTGGAATAAGAAAGGAGTTAAAATTGGAGCTGCCACTCGTCGCATCTATTTATTGGGGGTTTGGTTAGGTTTTTTGTTTTGGCTGGAGAAAGTTATTTTTCGGTTTTTGTGTATATGGTCATCTACTTCATTTCTCCACACTCGTTCAGGCACTTTTATTTATCTGGCTATAGCGAGTCTTTTTTTTTTTTTTGGAGAGCGATAAAAAATCATTTTTTGTTTGTTTGTTTTTTACTTTGTACTGCCTTTTCTGGTCTGGTCTTGTTGTCAACTGCAATCTGCAATGTTATACCCCCAACTTTTCCTTAAAAGCTATTAAAGAGGCATTGTCAATCGTTTTGTTTGGAATCAATCATGGGATCATTATACTAGGTATACATTGTGTATATGGATTAAATGTATTATGAATTTGAAATCAAGAAAAAGAATCAAGATATCAAATTATTAAGACTGAATGGGCAATGTTTTTGGTGTATTTGTATGTACTAATACCGAGTTATGGAAATGTGGAATACAAATTCAATTTTCATGCTTACCTAGTCTCCTTTACTTAATATCTCGCTCGGGCTGATTGTTCGACTTATACATGGAGAAGGCATTGACTGATTGATTAAATGATTATTGCCGGACTTTCTATCAATCGACTCTAGCTCACGAACCCACGAATCAAGGAGACAATTGGAGAGGAGGGTAAGAAACAAGTGACGAGATAATGAATGCTGGAGATGACTCTTGCAGTCGAAGTCGAGCGGAAATGTAAGAAGGCGTCAAGTTAGCAGTGACGAGTCAGGTTCGTGAGTACTACTCGGGGTCCAAAACGTGCGGTAGACAGG